ACATGTTAATATAAGGGAATCGGATTTGCCATCATCCTATTCCAAGTCTACAAAATTTCTTCCCCTATCAAAATCCTTTCAAAGCCTGCCTTAAATACCACCTTTAAGAGGTCATATCCTAAAGTAGCCTATTCCTCAATACTTTCATGACAATGTTTAACACACCACTTATTACATATCACTTTTTATGACTAGCATGTATGTTCACAAAATGGGGTTTTTAGATCACCTAGCACAGTGCGTGACATAGTAAACACTTAGTAAATGGCACAACCCTCCCTTCCTTAATCTGTTATTTGAACTTCATTCCATAGGCATTGGAAAGATTTTGACAGTTTTTGAGCCCACAGATGATTTCATCACAGTGTTGCTTTAGAAATATGACATTAAGTTGCAGGATGGATTGGAGGAGGAAACTCTAAGGACAAGACAAAAGCTAATGCACTGGTTCCATATTCACACTTATTCAACACTTTCCAGTTCATATTTGGAAAGGAATGTGGTATAGCGGAAAGAACACAGATTTTCTAGCTAGGTGTCCTGATAAACAGATGTGAATGAGGCCATCACAGTCTAGCAGTTTATAATTTTTCCAGGATAACCAGTGAAATACTAGTTGAAAAGTGTTTTGTATTTTTTCTTCGTCACCCCACCCCCATATCGTTGTGCAATTTGTTGCACATGTAGGATCAAAAGACAAAAATGAGGGAATGTTATACTTTTAAACATGTATAGGAATTAATCTAGGAATTTACTGCATACCTCTGTGTTCCAGGTACTCTCATATGGATTATTTCATTTGCTTTTTCACAATAAATAATTCTATGAGTAAATGATGTTATTTCCATTTAACAGATAAGAAGAATGAAACAAAATGGTTAAATCATTATTCATAAGGGACAAAAAAAAAAAAAAAAAGATGAGTGTTTAAGACCCAAGTCTACTGAATAGAAGTTTAATATTTAACCCATGATACTGCCTCTGCCATGTGGTAGCTAAATGCATGTACCCATTTCTGGCACAAGTTAGCCTAAAGGGAAAGTAAGCCAAGTATATTATCCATAGATTATTGGCATATATCCATTTTGACTTCGGTGTTTTTATTTGTGTGTGTGTGTGTGTGCATATGTTTACCAAAAAAATCACTTTTTTTTAAGAGATGGAGTCTCTCTCTATTGCCTAGGCTGGAGTACAGTGGCGTGATCTCGGCTCACTGCAACCTCCACCTCCCAAGTTCAAGCGATTCTTCTGCCTCAGCCTCCCCAGTAGCTGGGACTAGAGGTACCCACCACTACTTCCAGCTAAGTTTTTTTGTATTTTTAGTAAAGACAGGGTATCACCATATTGGCCAGGCTGGTCTTGAACTCCTGACCTTGTGATCCACCCTCCTTGGCCTCCCAAAGTGCTGGGATCACAGGCATGAGCCACCATGCCCAACCAACAAATTATTATTTAAACTTCAGAATTCGCCATGACAACAGTTGATTTTTTTTGCATGATCATGATTATGATTCCCAAATGATTAGTTACTGGTTTTATACTTACCCTAAGCTTATCAAAATTATCATCAGGAAGTAAACCCATCAACTTATTTAGCACAAAGCTTCTCAAACTTGCATGAGCCTACAGGGATCTTGTTAAAATGAAGACTATTTTTGGTAGGATTGAGGGTGGGGCCTGGAAGTCTGCATATCTAACTGCTTCAGGTGATGCTCACGCTGCTGAGCTTGCATACTACACCTTTGGAGTATAAGCACAAAATTTTAATTTTTGTCCCAAATACATAATAATTTATATAAAGGTAAAACTATAGTGTACAAACTATTTGTGGTCTGTGCTTTTTTACACTTAGCCTTTTTCTGTTTTCTGCATAATTTTTATAATTATGATTTATATAAATCATAAAGGTAATATGACATTACTAGGAATATACATGTATTCTCAGTTATTTTCCCATTCTAAATAATGCTGGATTAATTTCCTCTGGGCGTATAGCTTTTGCTATTTAATTATCTCCTTAAGATAAATTCCCAGAGCAATTACCAGGTCAACGGGTAAGAATATCTTTGCTGTTTAATGGGCAAAGTTTTGCAAGATGAAAAGAGTTCTAGAGATGGATAGTGATGAGAGTTGCACAACAACATGAATGTCCTTAATACCAATGAGTACCATTAAGAATGGTTATGATGGAAAATGTCATGTTATGTGTATTTTACCACAATGAAAAAATTTTTAACTCTAAAGAAAAGGGAGAAGCCCCGCCCCCCTCGCAGAGACCACACAGTGAGCAGAGTCAGGTGCCACCAGGCTGGCAACCAGAAGTCAGAAGTCTAGAGCAGTGCAAGAGCATCTGTTATTCTCTCGTCTCAGATACCCGCCAGAAGTGTTGGAAGAGAGCAAGCAGATTTGAACCTATCTGCTTTCAAGCTGGTCATCATGATGAAACTTAGAAACAAAAGTGAAAAGCCAGGTAAAGGTTCCAAAGGCGGTAAGAAGCCTGCAAAACAAAATGGGAAGAAAGCAGCCTCCAGAGTGCCCTCTGCTCCTCAGTTTGTTCACTCTAATAATCATGCCAATCTAGAGGCTGAACTGAAGGAGAGGGTTGAGGAAATGAGGGAGAAACAGCAAGCTGCCTGGGAGCAAGAAAGACAGAACGCAGGTCTATCAAGAGCTACTGTAAGAATATCCTAAGACGCCAGGAGGAGTTTGAGCCTAAGGGGGAAGTTTTGTAGGAAATTAAAAACTTCCTCAGCTGGATGACGAGATCAGAAGGAAGGCCTATTACAATGAGTTCCGTAGGTGGTAGAATACTCTGATGTGATTCTGGAAGTCCTGGATGCCAGAGACCCATTAGGCTGCTGCTGCTTCCAAATGGAGGCTGCCTTCCTATGGTCTTGACCCGGTCCACAAGAAGGTTGTGAAGTAGCTGGGTTACCTTCAGAATGAGTTGCCAACCATGGCTTTCAAGGCTGGGATCCAGCATCAGCTGGATCTTGTCAGCTTTGGATTGTCAGCTTTGGAGCTGAAAAACTCATGAGCGTTCTGGGAAACTATCGCCACCTTGGTGAAGTGCACACCCACATCCATATGGGCATTGTGGGCCTTCTCACTATTTGGAAGAGCAGCCTGATTAATAGCCTGAAGCGCAGCCACGCATGCAACGTGGGAGCCATTCCTAGGGTCATGAAATTCACACAGGAGATCTATCTGGACAAGTTCATTTGGCTGCTGGATGCTCCAGGCATTGTCCCAGGACCCAGCTCAGAGGTGGGCACCATCCTGCATAACTGCATCCATGTGCAGAGGCTGGCAGACCCCATGACGCCTGTGGAGACCAACCTACAGTGCTGCAACCTGGAGTAGATTTCCAACTATTACCGCCTCTCTGGGTTCCAGACCACTGAGCACTTTCTTACAACAGTCACCCACCATTTGGGAGAGAAGAGAGGCTTATACAGTCAGGAGCAGGAAGCCAAAGCTGTCCTAGCTGACTGCGTGAGCAAGATCAGCTTCTATAGACCACCACCACCCACTCACATTCTTCCCGCCCATCTCAGCACCGAGATCATTAAGGAAATGACCGAGGTCTTTGACATTGAGGATACCAAGCAGGCCAATGAAGACAACATGGAATGCTTGGCCACTGGAGAATGTGATGAGCTGTTGAATGACACAGACCCATTGGAAATGGAGATCAAGTCTCTCCATTCTCTCATGATGAAAATAGCAGATGCCATTGAAAATAAAACCACTGTATATAAGATTAGAGATTTCACTGGGTATTGTACCAATCCAAATCGTCATCAGATGATGTGGGCCAAACTCAATGTAGACCACCATACTAAAAACAACTGTAGAGTGATGTCTGCCCAATGGACTGCTGCCCAGTACTGCAGAGAATCATGGAGATGGACCCTCTGCAACAGAGCTAGGCTCTGGCATCCTCCCTGAAGTATAAGAAGAAGATGCAGATACATGCAGATAAAATCACCAGGGAGCTGTCTGATTCCCTGATGTCTGCCCTTGACCTCTCTGGCAATGGTGATGATCATGTTGGTGACTAATTAACTGATCTCACTTCCCTTCTGCTCCAAGCACCAGTTCCAGTGGGATGCAGCATTACCAGTGAAATAGTTTGGTTCTCCCTGAAGCATCTGCATATTAAAAGAATCCTTTCCCAACTATGTGTCTTTTCTACTCTCTCCAGTAAAAAGAGCTCCAAGAGGCTGGACCTGAAAAACCCAATACCCTTTATTTAACCCCTACTCTGTTTTATAACAGAAATAAAAGAAGCATCAGCAGGAAAGAAAAAAAAGAATATACCCCCAATAAATATTACCCCCAAAAAAATTATTTTCAAAAGAATTAGATTTTTGGGGGGGAGGGTAATGATATTTTTTCAATCCTTTTGAAAATATCAAATTTTCAATTTTTTCAATTTTCAGTCCTATTCAATCATTTTGAAAAAGAAATACCAGTCTTTTAAAAAGCATGATATTATTTTTTGCTGGTATTCTCCCTAAAAAAAAATTTTGTGGGCAGATTTCTCTTGAAAAGAATGTTTTTGGGGGAATATTGTATACCCTCCAAAAATATTATTCTTTTGAAAAGAATGGTTGCATTAATAAACTATTTGCCCTTTAAGAAAGAATCACCAAATTACACTGCCACCAACATGTTTGCCAGTATTTAATAACTTATATATTTTTTTTAATTTTTGCACAATGGTCTAGAATGATTCTTCAAGGTTGCAGTCTGTATTTTACTTCTGTTAGATTGAAAAGTAAACATTTACCCTTGTGGTTTTTTACTATTTGTATTTCCTCTTCTGTTAAATGTACATTCATGTCATTGACCCTTGTTCTGTTGATGTTGAACATTTTCCTTAAATTTAAAAGAGCCCTTTTTATAGCATAATATTTTTTAAGTATTTCTACTAGTCTTTGTTGTCTTTTAAATTCAGATTTAAGAGATGAGTAACTATTATTTTAATCCTACAGGTGAACTATGGAAAAGTTTGTAATAACAGTAAAAAAGGATTGAAATTCACTGTCTCCTGTGGCTGCAGTTCAGAATTTGTTTTCGTACCATATGGTAGCACCGTTGCTGTTTATACAGTTTACTCAGGAGAACAGATAACTATGCTTAAGGGACATTATAAAAGTGTAGACTGCTGTGTATTTCAGTCACATTTCCAGGTAAGAATGATACAGGAATTTAAAATGTTCAGCTAGTTAGCTTGCCAGACCAGTTATATGTAAAAGAATAAATTGTGATTTCATTCTAAGGAGTCATACTTTTCATCCACATTTGAACTAGGATTTATTTAATAGAGACTATGAGAGCCTAGATTTTTAGATGGCATATAATATATGGATGAATCAGTATAATATTGTGCAACTTGATTGGCATAAATTCTCTTTCTTTTGCATATAACTTTCATTTATTTAGCAATTGAAAATCTCTGGTGAATCAAAATAATTTCTTGCAAACCATCTTTTGGGTAAGAAATGAAATTAGGCATTTAATCATAAAATAGAATTTGTATATGTTGGTTCATGTATGTGTGGATGATCTATTCTTCCTTATTTTCTATCAGCGGCTAATAAAGGGAGGTTTTGAAGTTAATACAACCTATATAATTTCTTAAATACCCTAGCTTTTGTTTGTTTGTTTTACATGCAGACCTTTTCACATCACCAATGGAGTGGATTGCTTTTTTTTCAGAGAACATTGGCACAAATTAATTCATGCACTCCTTTAAATGAGTCTAACATTGCAAAATAGTTGGTATTTTCCCTGTTTTTTAGGTAAGGAAAATAAAACTCATGTAAGTTAAATACTGATAGAATGAAAATTATGGACTATTAGAGCTCAAGGAGACTATCACTTTGTGAATCTCCTATTCATTCATTAATGAATACTGATTGCCTAATTTGTGCCTGACACTGTTCTATAAGATATATAGACCTGATTTTTCAGCCAGTTCATATCATTATGGCAGTACTCAATATTTAAATATTTAAATACTTATATATCCTACTGGCTGGTAAACAGCTGATACAGCAAGCCCCCCAAGTGACCTCCAGCCTCAGCCCCTTCCCTGGGACCTCTTAGACCTCACCTTACCCCAGCAACTAAAAGGGGACCTACAAGACCCTACTCCAACTCTATAGCCAGTATCTCTTCTTATTAGTCATTATCCCAGTATACCAGTTGTTAAACATATTTAGTGTTCTGGGAGAAGAAAACAAAAGCACCAGAGAGGTGACATGACTTGTCCCTAACTTACAAAGTAGTTATTGATAAGCCATGTATTGATATTCAAAGAAATTCTTAAAATATTGTCCCTCTCTTCCTTTCCAAAATCACTTAGAGACACAGCCAAGATTTCATCCCAGGTACTCTGACAACAAATTACTTCTTTCTACCAAACTGGAGCTTCCTAATAGATGTGCCTAGAATGGATTAAAATCGTGCCAATGGCTGGGCACAATGGCTCACATCTGTAATCCCAGCACTTTGGAAGGTCAAAAGGATCACTCGAGCCCAGGAGTTCCAGACCAGCCTCAAGAGACAGAATGAGACCCCGTATTTACAAAAAATCAAAAAAATTAGCCAGGTGTGGTGGTGTATGCCTGTGGCCCCAGCTATGCAGAAGGCTGAAGCAAGAGGATCGCTTGAGCCCAGTAGATTGAGTGAGCTGTATTCACACCACTGCACTTCAACATGGGCAACAGAATGAGACCTTGTGTCCAAGGGGGAAAAATATTAGATAAGATACACTCAACATCAAAATAAATAACGATAGTAATAAATTACAACCTATTGACTAAAATAGAAATTCATGTATCTAGGCTGGTATAGGTAAATAAATTAATGAATTAAAAATTTGATGAGGAATGAGATATTTACATAATCTCAATGTATCTCCCATAAAATACGAAGTACAAAGGTAAAAATATTAATTTTACCCTGAAGAAGCCTGACACACATCAAATAATCATCAAATCATCTAAATTAGCATCTCAGTTATGGGACATCACTTTTGTGATATTCCTGGCCAAATTGGATCACCCAAATTTAATCATGAGGAAATACAAGACAAGCCAAATGTGAAGGACATTCTACAAAGTAACTGGTATATATCTCCAAAATTGTCAAGGTCAGAAAAGACAAACTGAAGAACTGTTTCAGCTTGAAAACTGAAAAGACTTGACGACTAAGTGCAGCATGTGATTTTTAACTGGTCCCTTTTGCTATAAAGGACAGTATTGGAACAAATGATGAAACATGAATGGGATCTAAGAATTAGATGGTGATAATAATATGAATTATCTGATTTGGTTGGTTACTTTGTAGCTATAAAGGAAAGTATCAGCCGGGCGTGGTGGCTCACGCCTATAATCCCAGCACTTTGGGAGGCCGAGGTGGGTGGATCATGAGGTCAAGAGATCAAGATCATCCTGGTCAACAAGGTGAAACCCCGTCTATACTAAAAATACAAAAAAATTAGCTGGGCATGGTGGTGCACGCCTGTAGTCCCAGCTACTCGGGGGGCTGAGGCAGGAAAATTGCTTGAACTCAGGAGGGGGAGGTTGCGGTGAGCCAAGATCGTGCCATTGCACTCCAGCCTGGGTAACAAGAGCGAAACTCCATCTCAAAAAAAAAAAAAAAAAGGAAAGTACCTTGTTCATAGGAAAAATACACTGAATTATTTAAGAGTAATAAGGCCTTATGTTAGCAACTTACTCCCATGATTTAGGGAAAAAAATTATTAAATATTAAAATCTTTTTTTATTTTTTACTATACGTATAACTTACATTTTGAGATTATTTTTTAGGAAAATCTAATTGCCCAAATGAACTCCTGAATCTATCACAGACACTTCAAGGCTTAATGTAAATCCTTACATCTAAGTGTTATAAGTCATTCTAATTTCAGTATCTCTTTCTTGAACATCTACAGAATATCCTTTATGGCTTCACTGGGGGTGTTAGAACTTACTGTAAATTGCCCTATAAGCTTATCTGACCAAGTTATCTTGGGCATTACCTGGCCTTCTCAAAGAAATAAAATTACTCAAGGGCACTGAATTTACATATCTTTGTATCAGCCACAGTTAGTGTAACCATATAATCTAGATTTTATAATACAGTCAATAAAATTGTGTTATATTTAGGAAATTTGCTAATGTATATAACAATTTTTAAAATTTTTAAAATTTTCTATAAATACCTATATAATCTTATTTTCCCATTTCCCACATCCTTACTTAAATAAAAAAACACAATTATACCATGCCTCATATTGTTTTCAAGATATATAGTAATACAAATAAATTGTATAAAACAGCAGAGGAAATAAGCCAATATAACATATTCCTTCGGTTTTGTTGGGGAGGGGAGTGAGCATTGTTCAGCCATAAGCAAACAGCATATCCACAGACACTGACATAGGCTGTGCATCAGCTCAAGCTTCCCTTTACGAAGTAAACTTCTCAACAGTCATGGGATATATGTCTTCAAGCTCTTCTGTTGAATTGCAGCCAGTTAGGCAGCTGTGAGCTAAATAAAACTTTTTGTGAACTTGGCCTATTTTATTAGAAGCTCATACGGTTTCTTCACTGAAGTCTTTATTGAAGCTCGGTTTTTGAACACAGAAAGACAAACTATTTTTTTCTTTCTCTGACATTAGAAATATATGTATACTATAATTGATAAAACTGCTAAGATTTGGGGTATATTTATAAAGTCTCACACCATTAGTAAGCTCTGACAAATCCTAATACTATTTTTAAATACAAACAAAGCTTAACTAAGAAAGAAAGAAAAAGCAGCATCAGCCTAGTTTCTTTAGGGAGTAGAAATAGCATTAATGTAAGTCCTGTGACCTAATTTTTCAAAAATGATATAATTATTTGTTTGGTATCAGCTTTTGATCCACAATATCATCTTTGCTTTCTGTGTTATAGGAACTTTATAGTGGCAGCAGAGACTGCAACATTCTGGCATGGGTTCCATCCTTATATGAACCAGTTCCTGATGATGATGAGGTAAACATTATTTTCACAAATTGTACAGTGACTTCTAAATCATAAGAAATAATGTTTCGTTACTTTACTTTATGTGAGAGAGACTTTTAAAGCATTTCTTGCCAGGGGCCTGCACCTATAATCACAGCTACTTGGGAGACTGAGGCAAGATGATCACTTGAGCCCAAGAAATCAAGACCAGCCTGGGCAACATAGTGAGACCCCATCTCTAAACAACAACAACAAAAAAGCATTTCTTGGTATTTTCAGACTGTAAAAATAATTGGACTATTTTAAGACATTTGGAAAATTCAGAAAAATAGCAAAAAAGAACATAAAATTCCTCAAGTTGAATTAGTCAATATTAACAGTTTGATTTGTTTCATAACTGGTTTTTTCCTTTGTATATGTTTTTTAACATAGCTCATATCATGGTTGGACATTCAACTTGGTATCTTACTTTTCTGATCAACATTGTACAATAAGCCTTTTTTAATGTCATTAATAACTATGTGTAAACATTTCTAATTATACAGTATTCTGTCACTGATAAAACACAATTTAAATACCTAGTTGGAGACATTTCTGTTGATTATTATAAACATCAAGGTAAATATCTGTTCAAAAATTGTTGATATTTTTTATTGTGTCTTTAGATAGATTCCTAGAAGTGGAATTATCTCTTGAATTACTATGTATGACTTTATTATTTTATTTTATTTTATTTTTGAGATTGAGTCTCACACTGTCACCCAGGCTGGAGTGCAATGGTGCGATCTTGGCTCACTGCAACTTCTGCCTCCCATATTCAAGCAATTCTCCTGCCTCAGCCTCCCAAGTAGCTGGGATTACAGGTGCCCACCACCACACCTGGCTAATTTTTGTATTTTCAATAGAGATGGGGTTTCACCATGTTGGCCAGGCTGGTCATTAACTCTTCACCTCAAGTGACCCACTTGCCTTGGCTTCCTAAGGTGCTTGGATTATATTCATGAGCCACCATGCCTAGCTGACATTTTCAAGACTTTATTCTCGTGTCAAATTTTACCAGTTTACGCTCCTATCAGCAGGCTCCTGACATTGCCTATCATAGAACATAAACCAGTATAAACATAACAGTGTAAATAAAGTCCTTAAAAATGCAGTAGGTAAACAAAGATGAATAAGACCATTCTCCCTGGCCTAAAGTAATAGCCTCTATTTTAGTATTTTTTTTTCAACTTTTACATCTAGCAGTATGAAGATATAGGCTGTTTAAAGGTGGTTTCTCTCCCACCAAGGTTTATTCTCCTAAGCACTGTTAATCATCTTTTTTTATCTAAATTTCTACAATATAAAAAGTCTAAAGCAATGTCTAAAAACAATGTATATACATATATTTGTGTATGTGTATATATATATATATATATATATATATATAAATAATTATTTAAGTTGGAAATATAAATAATGTAGTTAGAAATACCTTAAGGTAATCTTAAGCAAGTTATAGTAAAAGCATCTTAAATTGAAGTTGAGGAAAGTTATGATACAGTACGTTTGACAGTCAAAAAACATCTTTCATATACTGTTTAGTTCCTTTATGAAAATAGGACTATGTCAAAAACCACATAAAATATGATTTGTATAGAGGTAGTTGATAGCTTCTCACAGCTATTGACAAAATATATTTCATACCTAAATTGTCAACTGCTAGAGTTTCCTGCAGTGTAAAACCTGTGAATTATTTTCTTTTGTCCTTAATTCAAAGAAAGATAAAAAAATACACTGATAAATCTTCAAGTAGCCAGCCAATGCCATCAGTATACTTCCAGATTTTATCACATGTCTAATTTGGTTTATTGTGGCTTGATTAACTTTCGCATACAGCTGCTTTTGATGTCAGAATATTCTTCTGTATAAAGCTTAATATGACCAAATGATTGGATTTAGCTATTTATTTTACATTTTATTATGTAATTATTGTGTCCTGCTCTTTGGGAATTGCTATATACATTAAATCCAAGTTATAACACTGTAAGCCATGTTAGGAAGTATAGCATTTCACTTACCAAATGAAAATAGTAAAAAATAAATAAAAAGTAAATCTATAGTATTGAAAAGGATGTTAGAAGAATACCACATTGTTTAATTCATAAAGATAATATTTGGCCAGGTGTGGTGACTCATACCCATAATCCCAGCACTTTGAGAGACTGAGGTGGGAGTATCACTTAAGTCCAAGAGTTTGAGAGCAGCCTGGGCAACATAGAAGACCCCATCTGTGCAAAAAAATAAACAAAATTAGCCAGATTTGGTAGCTTACACCTATAGTTCCAGCTACTTAGGAGGCTGAGGTGGGAGGATCACTTGAGCCCAAGAGTTCAAGGCTCCAGTGAGCCCCGATTACAGCACTGTACTCTAGCCTACCTGACAGAGTGAGACCCTCACTCAAAGAAAAAAAAAGATAATATGTGACTGATGGTTTATTTCCTTGTTATGTCATTATAGTGAGAGTTTGAACTCTTTGTGTAAAAAAACTTTTGTATATGAGAAATTAAGTAAAACAAGTTAGAAAATCACAGAGATATGCAAAAATCAAGTTGACTTTTGTATTTGCTTTAGAGCTATAAAAGCTTACCTTTTAAAATGCCATGTTGAGATATTTTAAGATAGCAGTTATTCTCATATTAATATAAAATGGCATGTGCTAAAGTTATTTCCATAAAATTTTAACTTGAAAGATTCCTGTGAATATAGGTAGAACATGAATGTGATCGTAATACAGATCCCAAGAAGAGCCTGTCCAGGAGATCCTGTTCCTTACATGTATGTTTCTAATTTAAGCCATATTGAAAAGTGCTTTTATCCCAACTATAAATTAAGTATATTTATTTAATATTTATTTTCCAAGGAGGCAGTGTAGCACACTACAAAACAAAAAGCACACACACATATATACACACGTACTTAGTGTTTAGCTTCAGATAAATTGGGTTTGAATCCCAGTTCTGTTATTCATTATACTTACAATCTGGGACAATCTTATGATATTTCCAAATATCAGAATTGTCTAATCAAAGTTATTCTTAGGTTTCCTTTCAAATGCGTCCTTCAGATGAGAGTTACCTCCCCATCAACCAAAATATAATCCCTTACGGGGTGTTTCTCCTGATATCCAAAGTAGAAGATCAATTTAATTCTGTGTAAGGAAAGGAAAGACACTGGATGAGAGGGACAGGATTTATGGTCTTTAAGTATAAATTTCATTTTTTAATTGATAGACTGTTTTATTATATTTTGAGGAATATGGCTTCCTTTTGACTCTACTTTCTAAAAGCTGGTCTGGTCAAGACAAGCCTATATATAACTCCTAATCACTTTTTCCTGCCTGCAATCTATAGGGCAGGTTTATTCCAGTTTAAACCTGACCTCTCACTAAGAAGCTTACTTTGACATTCACACAATACATAATTGTTTTACATTCCACTTGTGCCCATATATAATCACTTGCTGATAACTCTGAGACTTGCCACTATTTACCAGTCAGAAATTTGAAAGTTATCAAGAAGTATCCTTGTAGATGTTAAGTCTAGTTTTATTCCTTCTCTAAATTCATAACTAGAATTCTCTAAATTCATCCTGTCTAAACTCTATTTCTATAACATTCACACTATCTGTCAGTAGAACTGACAACCCGGTGAGATAGATGTATTATGTTCAAGCACAGACTGGATGTCCACTAGGAGGAGATGTTGTAGAGAAAAACTGAAGTAATAGGTAATAGTAGTGACACTTGATCAGAGGATTAGGAAGTGTGGCTTATCCACCCAGGGATGTGTGTGTGTGTATGTGTGTGTGTGTGTGTGTGTGTGTGTGTGTGTTCCCAGGTCAGGAGTTCAAGACCAACCTGGCCAATACGGTGAAAACCTGTCTCTACTAAAAATACAAAAGTTAGCCAGGTGTGGTGACACATGCCTGTAGTCCCAGCTGCTCAGGAAACTGAGGCAGAAGAATCACTTGAACCTGGGAGATGGAGGTTGCAGTGAACCGAGATCATGCCAGTGCACTCCAACCTGGGTGACAGAGCAAGAATTCATCTCAAAAAATAATAATAATAATAGTAATAGTTTGTATCTGGACATTTGAAGTATAATAGAATTTTGGTTGTATACCTAAGTGAAAATAGCCAACATTAGATTTAATAATGTACTCTAATCTGTTAACAATAAAGAATGCCTAAATTAACATATTGTTTTCCAACTATTCTAGCTGATACTTGGGAAATTTACTGGAAACACTTAACTTTTTCTACTGTTTTCATTGTAAGATTCAAAGTTATATTCATCAAAAGGAAAATGAACATTCTCAGATATGCAGTAGGGGTTACCCTTAAAAATATTTCTGTAAGTTATAAAAGGCAATACACCTAAAATAACTTAAGGGTAGTCTTGATGCTAATACAGCACTGGAATTTGAATCTGAATAAAATTGTAGCAGTTGTAAAAGTTGCACAAAAGAAAGCAAACCTGGCTCATAATACCCAGTTACTTTAAAAATGAGACCATCTTAAAGCCCTTTTAGTTATTTGCCAGAGAATCAGAAGGTAGCTATTCAGAAGTTTTCCCAAAAATGAACTGATTTGAAATGCCACAGATTATTAAAATTTCTCTAATTGCTATGCACCTTTATTTTAGATATGGCTCTAAATCCGTAAGAATACTGTGATGCTTTGTTGTTGTTTTAAATAAACATAATATAGATACACGTTATCCTTCAGAGAAACCTCTAGTGCTGGTTATAAACATTTTACCATTTTTGACATATTTTGCATGTTTTACTAAACTGCCCTATCAACCTATAAAAATAAGTAAATAAATATCACTACTTAAAAATAAGTACATAAATATCATATTAATAGCCCACATTATTTTTTGGACTAAAAATGCTATTATTGAGCTTGATGAATGCCTAATTCTCCTTATTTGGGTATTTGTTTATTTATAAAAGTTATTTTCATCCAAACAATAAAGAGTTGCCACCATTGATATTTTGAGCTGTCAGGTCAGACTATATACCTGGAGTCCACTCTTAGCCCATGGATGTCAGAGTGCCACTTTCTCCAGGTAATTCCATAGAGTTGTTGAGAAATACCTTGAGCAACAGCAGCATCATGGTGTGTGTGTGTGTGTGTGTGTATATGTATTTGTGAGGTGATTACTTTAAAGGAAATAGAGTGTTTAGATAAAGTCTGGTATTGCCTGTTTAAAATGCAGTTGTACTATCTTGTATGTTCTGAAATTAACAGTTATACATTTATACATTTTCTTCCAAAATAATATAATTGCTGTTTATCTGATATATAACTTTATTACGAGCCTAAAATTAAGAAGTTAAAAAGAAATCTTCCTTTTTCTTTATTTTTTTTTTTAGACAACAAAATCACAATTAAATCCGGCCTTTGAAGATGCCTGGAGCAGCAGTGATGAAGAAGGATGAATATCAACCTTTAGTACCTTTGTGTCTCTGCGGAAACTTTTTAAACAAGACAGTGTGTGTTTTTTTTCAACTGCGGTCTATTCCTGACAGCTAAATTAGCCCTAAATGTGGGTAGTTTGTTTCCTCATGTTTTAAAATGAGGTTAATATTTGCATAAAATCCTAAAACAGACTTCTGTATCATTTATTTAATCAAATGTGTTCCTTGAAACCAGTTGCTATGGCCTAGGGAAGCCCCCATTGCTACAGTACAAGAACACAGTCATTGTCCCTCAGCTGTGACTTTCAGCAGATTTTATGAACTCTAAGATGCAGTTTCAGAGGATCGCCAAGTGGAGGCCATCAGCATTGACTTTCTCCTACTTGCTGTACTATCGGCCTGCTCATTTCCACCTTCAAGAATGAATTTGCCAAGGATGAGTATATCAAAAATAGTAGTTGAAATGGTAACATCAAAATTATTTTATTCTTCATCTATTCACATTTTGCAGTGATTTCATTTACTTAACCATTCTTTAGCTTTTTGTTAAACATTTTTGGGCTCAATATCTCCTACAATCCAAAAAGTTTATCACAGGAGGCTTTTAACTTTGTGAAAATCGCTTGCTTGCTTTATTTTAATGTCAGAAGGCAGTTTGCACTCATGCTTGAACTCTTTATGAAACTCATTAAGACGTGACCAAATCCTGCCTCATTCATTCAAGCAGAAAATATCCTTGAAGGGAATCTGGCTTAAAAGAAAATTCCTGTTATTGTCTCCTTCTGCATCAACCCACAAATGATTATCATGAAGGTAATCTTAATATTCCCTTCCTGATCCTTAACAGCAGTAGACTAGTAAACGAGGCTTTTAAGAACTTGAATACCAAAAGTATACAGTTGTTGAGGTTTTTGTTTTTGTTTTGCTGAGACAGAGTTTCATGCTGCTGGAGTGCAGTGTCACGATCTCAGCTCACTGCAGTCTTCGTTCAAGCAATTCTCCTGCCTCAGCCTCCAGGGTAGCTGGGATTATAGGCTTCCACCACCACACCCAGCAAATATTTTGTATTTTTAGTAGAGACAGGGGTGGTCATGAGCTCCTGACCTCAAATGATCCGCCTGCCTTGGCCTCCCAAAATGCTGGGATTACAGGTGTGAGCCCCACCCTCCCTGGCCAGTTGTTGAGCTTTTAAGTGTATAGGGGTTAGACCTCATATCAGACCTTTCCAGCCAAATGTTTTCCATACACTTTCTTTTACAATTGATTTTTTTTCCAATTGACACATAAAATTTTATGTATTTACCATGTACAACATACTGTTTTGAAGCATATATACATTATAGAATGACTAAATCTAGCTAATTGACATAGGCATTACCTCACATAGTTACCATTTTTTTTAGTAAGAAAGCTTTAAGTCCATTCTCTTATCATTTTTCAAGATTAATTGTAATCTTGTAACTATAGTTACTATGTTGTGCAATTAGTGTCTTTCACTAATTCCTCCTATTTAACTGAAATTTTGTATCTTTGACCAGTGTCTCTCCAACCACCCTAGCTCCTATTAACCACCATTCTACCTCTACTTCTTCTTTTTTTTTTTTGAGGCAGAATTTTGCTTTTGTTGCCCAGGCTGGAGTGTAATGGCGCAGTCTCAGCTCACCACAACCTCTGCCTCCTGGGTGTAAGCAATTCTCCTGCCTCAGCCTCCCCAGTAGCTGGGATTACAGGCATGTGCCACCACACCCAACTAATTTTGTATTTTTAGTAGAGATGGGGTTTCTCCATGTTGGTCAGGCTGATCTTGAATTCTCAACCTCAGGTAATCTGCCCGCCTCAGCCTCCCAAAGTGCGGGGATTACAGGTGTACCATTTATATATAGGTACCACATTTTATTTATCATTCAACCATTGATAATTGCTTAGGTTGATGCCATATCCTGGCTATTGTGAATAATGCTGCAATGAACCTGGGAGTGCAGATATCTCTTTGTCACAGATTTCATATTCTTTGGATATAAGCCCAGTAGTAGGATTGGTGGAGCATATGTAGTTCTAATTTTAACTTTTTGCAGAACCTCCATACTGTCTTCCATAGTAGCTGTACTAACTTACATTCCTACCAAGAATATGCAAAAGTTCCCTTTTCTTCACATCCTTGCCAATTTGTTATCTTTTGTCTTGTTGATAATAGCCATTCTAACAGGTATGAAGTGATATCTCATTGTGGTTTTGATTTGCATTTCCCTAGTAACTACTGATGTTGAGAATTTTTTCATATATCTGCTGGCCATTTGCATGTCTTCTTTTGAAAACTGTCTTTTCAGGTTCTTTGCCCATTTTTAATTGGGTTGTTTTCTTGCTTTTGAGTAGAGTTCCTTAGATAGTAACCCCTTATCAGATCTACAGTTGATAAATATTTTTTCTCCATTCTTTCTTCACCCTATTGTTTACTTTGCTGTGCAGAAGCTTTCTAGTTTCATGTAATTTCATTACTGTACTTGTGCTTTTGTCACTGTGATTTTGAGGTCATATCCAAAAAAATCATTGCCCAAACCAATGTCATGGGGCATTTTCTCTGTTTTCTTCTGATAGTTTCAAATCATTGATTTATTAAGCTGAGGTCATTCTACTTTCACTCTTGTTCCCTTGGTGAGGGTGCATTTGACCTCTGAAGAAAGCTATTTTGAAAAAGCTATTGGCCAGGCAAGATGGTTGTAATCCTAATACTTTGGGAGGCCAAGGCTGGCAGATCACTTGAGCTCAGGAGTTCAAGACCAGTGTGGGGAACATGATGAAACCTCATCCCTAAAAAACAAATACAAAAATTAGCCACGTGTGTTTTACACACTTCTAGTTCCAGCTACTTGGGAAACTGAGTCAGAAGGATCACTTGAACCTGTGAGGTTGAGGCTGCATTGAGCCAAGATTGTGCCACTACACTCCAGCCTGGGTGATACAATGAGACCTTGTCTCCCCCACCTCAAAAAAAGAAAAGAAAAGCTATTAAAATTGGAAATTTCTTTTTAAGAAAAAGGAAGACTTCTTCCAAACTGCAAATATCTGTTTTACTTATTTCTAGTTATACAGATACATAGGCTCATTATAAATAATTCAAACAACATAAAGCCCTAAAAAAGAAGGTAGTGGTCACCTAGAATTATAATACCATAAGGTAACCAGCACTAATATTTTCATGGACATTCTTCATCCATCTCTTATAATACATATAATTTTGCATAATGGGATATTCACCATGCTATTATCATTAACATCCCTCTCTTTCCACATTAGTACCACATTCCCCATTCCTTACCCCTGCTGCCACAAACCAAGTTATTAACCTAGCCTGTGTTATTTCATATTACAATCATATATAGATCTATATAGACATATAGAGGATGTGTTTTATCTTGCAGAACTGGGATATACATAGTTCTGTCTTGAATTTTTCAGATACAGCTTATATAAATCCCTCTCTGTCATCTGTTATAACAAAGTTATTATTTTTGATAACTACATTATACACTATTTTGTGACTGGGCCTCAGTTGTTTTCAGCTGGTCTCCTATTCAGAGCTACATGTTTATTAATGAAGACTGTGAACTGTATTATATTCTCCTTAGTTGGCATATTTCAGTGTACAATTTAGTTATTGAATATCATCTTTTTTTTTCCTCTGAAATGATAATTTAGCTGGGTATATGATATTTGGGTTGTAGTCCTTTTCTTTTATTGGTCTACAGATATTGTGCCCACTTTTTTCTAGCTTCTGGTATTGCACATGAGAATTCCAGAGCCACTTTGATTTTTTTTCCTTTGTAGGGAATTCATTCTTTACAGCTGGAAGCTTGTGAACTGAGGTTTAAAAAAAATTACAGTTTCTTAATTTTGTCAAGATATCTGATGCCTTTTATACATATATATATATTTTATTACACTTTGGTTCTAGGGTACATGTGCAGATCATGCAGGATTGTTGCATAGATACATACATGGCAATGTGGTTTGCTGCCTCCATCCCCTGTCACCTATATCTGGCATTTCTCCCCATGTTATCCCTCCCAAACCTCCCTACCCCCGACTGTCTCTCCCGTATTCACCGCCAACAGACCCCAGTGTGTGATGCTTCCCTCCCTGTATCCATGTGTCCTCATTGTTCAATACCCACCTATGAGTGAGAACATGCAGTGTTTGATTTTTTGTTCTTGTGTCAGTTTGCTGAGAATGATGGTTTCCAGATTCATCCTTCGTCCTACCAAGGACACAAACTCATCATTTTTTATGGCTGCATAGTATTTCATGGTGTATATGTGCCACATTTTCCTTGTCCAGTCTATCATCGATGGGCATTTGGGTTGGTTCCAGGTCTTTGCTATTGAAAACAGTGCCACAGTGAACAGACGTGTGCATGTGTCTTTATAACAGAACCATTTATAATCCCTTGGATATATACCCAGTAATGGGATTGCTGGATCAAATGGAATTTCTATTTCTAGGTCCTTGAGGAATTGCCACACTGTCTTCCATAATGGTTGAACTAATTTACACTCCCACCAACAGTGTAAAAGTGTTCCTATTTCTCCACATTCTCTCTAGCATCTGTTGTCTGCAGATTTTTTAATGATCGCCATTCTAACTGGAGTGAGATGGTATCTCAATGTGGTTTTGATTTGCATTTCTCTAATGATCAGTGATAATGAGCATTTTGTCATATGTTTGTTGGCCTCATAAATGTCTTCTTTTGAAGAGTGTCTGTTCATGTCCTTTGCCCACTTTTGAATGAATTTGTTTTTTTCTTGTAAATCTGCTTTAGTTATTTGTAGATTCTGGATATTAGCCCTTTGTCAGATGGGTAGATTGCAAAAATTTTTTCCCATTCTGTTGGTTGCCAGTTCACTCTAATGATTGTTTCTTTTGCAGTACAGAAGCTCTGGAGTTTAATTAGGACCCATTTATCTATTTTGGCTTTTGTTACCAATGCTTTTGGTTTTTAGTCATGAAGTCCTTGCCTATGCCTGTGTCCTGAATGGTTTTGCCTAGGTTTTCTTCTAGGGTTTTTATGGTGTTAGGTCTTATGTTTAAGTCTTTAATCCATCTGGAGTTAATTTTAGTGTAAGGTGACAGGAAGGGGTCCAGTTTCTGCTTTCTGCACATGGCTAGCCAGTTTTCCCCAACACCATTTATCAAACACGGATTCCTTTCCCCATTGCTTGTTTTTGTCTGGTTTGTCAAAGATCAGATGGTTGTAGATGTGTGGCATTGCCTCCAAGGCCTCTGTTCTGTTCCATTGGTCTATATCTCTGTTTTGGTACCAATACCATGCTGTTTTGATTACTGCAGCCTTGTAGTATTGTTTGAAGTCAGGTAGGGTGATGCCTCCAGCTTTGTTCTTTTTGCTTAGAATTGTCTTGGCTATGTGGGCTCTCTTTTGGTTCCATATGAAGATTAAGGTGGTTTTTTCCCAATCTGTGAAGAGGGTCATAGGTAGCTTGATGTGGATAGCATTGAATCTATAAATTACTTTGGGCAGTATGGCCATTTTCACAATATTGATTCTTCCTAAGCATGAGCGTGGAATGTTTTTCCATCTGTTTTTGTCCTCTCTTATTTCCTTAAGCAGTGGTTTGTAGTTCTCCCTGAAGAAGTCCTTTACATCCTTTGTTAGTTGTATTCCTAGGTATTTTATTCTCTTTGTAGAAATTGTGAATGGCAGTTGGTTCTTGATTTGGCTCTCTTTAAGTCTGTTCTTGGTGTATAGGAATGCTTGTGATTTC